TTTTTTTTTTTGAGACAGAGGCTCACTTTGTTGCCCTAGGTAAGAACATGGCATCATAGCTCACAGCAAACTCAAACTCTTGCCTCAGCCTTCTGAGTAGCTGGGACTACAGGCACCCCTCACAATGCTCAGCTATTTTTAGAGACTGGGGTCTTGCTCTTGCTCAGGCTGGTCTTGAACTCCTGAGCTCAAGCAAACTACCTGCCTTGGCCTCCTAGAGTGCTAGGATTACAGGTGTGAGCCACTGCACCTGGCCCGTATGTTGACAATTTTGAAGACATTTTTATTTTATCAGTAATTTTAATGCCAGCTTATTTATTAAAGGTTTATTTAAGTCACATGAACCTGGAAATTATTTTGGCTTGTACATTTATGAGTGCTAGTTATTTTATGTTACTTTGGTATCATATAAATACAACATGTATGTACATATGTATATAAATCTAAAAAATATATGTTCAAACACAAATAAAGATCATAAGCTTTTATAAGTTTAATTATGATAGTAATATACATTCCATTGGCTTATAAGAAGATGGGTGAGTCCAAATAGTTGTTGACAAAATTGGCCCCTGTTTATATATGACTGAACTTTATTTACCCTAATAGGTAATCTAATGAATGTTATGGACCAAAAGTTTCAGTAAACTAGTTTTAATGATAATTTGATTTTAAAACTTCTTTTGCTTTTTTTTCCCCCTACAGTTTTAAAAGAGTGTAGGGTTACATCTTTAATGTCTACCTTTTAGTTACAACTGGCTGAATTGTATAAGATAAATAAAATCGCTTAAGTGGCTTTGAATTGGTAATACCATAAGTAGTCAGTTTTATCTTAACACCAGCAGAAAAGTCTATAGATTGAAAGTAGTAAAGAAAATTAAACAGGGAGATGGAGAAGTTAAAAAGATTCTATATGTTAACTCTGCATTGTAAACTTTTAAAAAATAATGACCATTTGCATTTTGAATATTTTTTCTTTTCTCTTCTTTTTTTTTTGTTTTGAGACAGAGTCTCACTGGGTAGAGTGCTATGGTGTGGTAGCTCACAGCAGCTTCCAACTCCAGGGCTCAAGCAAACTTTTTGCCTCAACTTCTGGAGTAGCAATGACTAATGGTGTCTCTAATAACACCCGGCTAGTTTTTCTATGTTTAGTAGAAATGGGGTCTTGCTCTTTCTCAGGTTGGTCTTGAATTCCTGAGCTCAAGCAATTCACCTGCCTGGGCCTCCCAGAGTGCTCGGATTACAATCATAAGTCACTACGTCCAGCCTGAGTTTTGAGTATTTCTTGATGTAATTTGTCTACCATTTAAAAACGTGTATGAGAATGGACCATAATATGTACTCTGCTGAAGGCCTAAAAAATCTGGCATGCCTAAATGTTTGGAAGTCCCATTTTTGGCCATTGATTTATTTATTTAGAAACAAAGTCTCACTCTGTTGCCCTTGGTAGGGTATTAGAGCTCATAGCAACCTCAAATTCTTGGGCTCCAGTGATCCTCTTGCCTCAGCCTCCCGAGTAGCTGGGACTACAAGCGCTGGCCATGTGGGGCTAGTTTTTCTATTTTTCATAGAGATGGGGTCTAGCTCTTGCTCAGCCTGGTCCCGAACTCCTGCCTTCAGATGAATCTCCTGCCTCAGTCTTCAAGAGTACTTGGATTACAGGCATGAGTCACTGTGCCTGGCCCCATTTTTGGCCGTTCTAATGTTAACTCTCCTTTAGTAAACTCCCATTTAGGGAAACATTTGCAAGCATATGCGTTGTATATGCAGCCTGTCGGAGGACTGACTGAAGGTTAGTTGTCTGGTGTTCCTGTCGTTCAGTTTTGGATGACTTACTTCCCATTGTGAGAGCACTGTTTATGGAGACAAATTGGAAGAGAAAGCACTGGCATAACCTAGCCAATCACATATCCATTCGTTCCTAGCACCTTTCAACTGGGAGCATGCCCCTTCTTGAGAAACAAAAAACCCAAAGAAGAACTCCCTTCCTCAAGGAGAACAACTAACTGATTAAAAAACCCAATCAACCAAGTGGGAGGTCCCAGACTCGGGACAACCTCACCCAGTAGTCAGGAACCATTGGGGAGCCAGAGGGGCTCAAAGGGCCCATGCTAGCACTAACCGGCTGACCGTCTACTATGGATCCCTTTGTGGTTGCCATGATTGTCAATCAAAGAAAAAAAAATCTTTTAAAGAATTTAGTTTTATTTGCAAGTCTTCCTGAGGACTACAGACAGAAGTCTACAGCACAGAAGCAGCCTTTAGAGATGTTCTATCTGATGGTTCCAGTGCAGCGCTCACAGTTTATATTTAGGTGGTGAAGACTGAGTATGTGTAACATTACATCTAAGTTTCAATGTATTTATAGAAGCATCATTACTATCTCGGACGTATGTGTAGGAAAAGGCAAGGACGAATTGTGCTCTAACCTGGTTTGTGTTCAAAGCATCTTTCTGAAGAGCTGCTGGTGGTCACAGAGTCACGGCCTTTGTGAAATGCTGCTGGCATGAGAAAAGAGCAGTCCGTGGCTTCTGAGGTTTGCTACTCTGTCTCACAAGAGTAATTTACCCATTCTAACGGGACTCAAGTAAGCATAAAACATGCTTACTGGCAGCAGAGGTAAAAAGGCAGAGCACTTGACCGAAGGCCACTTGTGTTTGTTCCTGCAGCTCATGCCCAGAGGAGCCCCTGCTGGCTCTCCAGCTGCTGACATCATAGTGACGCAGTTACCTTTTTACCTACTGGGACTCTTTATGGCTCAGTCTCCTTACTAAAAAAACAAAAAAGAAAAAACAGAGGGGTGGGCAAGACTAAAGCATCTCTCCAAGAGGTGTCAGCTATATTCCATAAGGTCAGAGGTGAAAGGCCTATAAACTGCTTGGGCTGCGGGGGGCGCTACAGCAGTTGGGCTTCAGTCACTTTTGGAAGTGAGGGAAGGGGATTTTGCTCTTCAAGTGAGAGGCTCCCCAAGGCTTGGGCCTCTTATGTCCCACGAACCCTCACACTAGAGAGGGCAGAGGGGTTTTTTCCACCCAGTATCTCTCTCCCCTTCTAAGTGCCCCTTCGAGAAGGGACCCGGGTGGGTTCAGGATCTCTTCCACGCGCTAGCGGTGCCCACGGTGCCCAAGCAGGTGCAGTGGGGCCCCAGAGAGAAGGGAAGGGCCAGGCGTCGGCTGAGGCCCAGCTCCCCGGCCTAGTCCCGCAGCAGGTGGTACTCCTTGGGTGCCCAGAGCAGGCGTGGGCGGTGGATCTCGGCTCGCGGGCCGATTTCCGGACACCAGCAGTACTCGGGCGACAGCACCTTGGCGGGCTTGTGCAGCCAGAAGAACTTGTTCAGGTGGCTCTCGTCGTGCCAGCGCGCCTCCAGGCCGCGCGCGCGGTCCTGCTCTAGGCCCCGCGCGCAGTGAGCCGTCAGCCTCTGCAGCGCCGCCACGCTGCCCCCGAACACGGCCGCGTGGTAGTAGAAGTCGCCCTCGTCCGGCGCCAGAGCGGCAGCGGAGCGCTCGTCGCGCTCAAAGGGCAGCAGCCGGAGTGGCCAGCGGTAGTGCCAGGCGTGCAGCTGCGCCACCGACTCGGCCAGCGCCTCGGGCCCGAAGGTGCCGCGGAAGTACTGGTCCACGTCCATGCAGAACACGAAGCTCGCCTCGCGGCCCAGCCGCCCGCCCAGCGCCGCGTGCAGCGTGCGCATGCGCGCCATCGACACGTCCTGCCAGCGCCGCTCGCGCTCCACGCGCTCCACGCGCAGCCGGCGGCCCGGGCCCAGCGCTATGCCGGGGACGGCATCCGGCCGCTCGGTGAACACGTAGTACACCACGCGCTGGCCCACCATGAAGTGTTGCTCGGCTGTCTCCAGGAAGCGCGCCAGGTACTTCTCCAGGTACCTGCCAGGAGGGCTCCACAGTTAGCCTGAAAGTAGCGCCCGCGCTGCGTGGCCGCCCCGCCCCCACCCTCACTCCCTGCCTGCTGCCTGGCGCTCCCTACGCCTGTCGGTGGAACTTCAGAACCGTCCAATTCTAGAATAGTTCAGCTTTGGGCCGGGGGCGGGTTAAAGACGCTTGGAAATTGACACTCGTGCGCCCTGTTGGTCCTTTGGAGAACTGGCAGCAGTTGTCTTTTAGCTCTGCAGCTTCATTAAGCTGCTCTAGAACTTCGATGCTGCCATGATGTGAGGAAGTCCAACCGAGTGTGGAGAGAGAGGTGCCTCAACCAGTCTCCAGCTGTTGATCTCCCAGGTGAGACCAGACATTTGGGAGAAGTGGGGACCTTTTCCTGCTAAGCCGTGTCTGAATTCCTGACTCCCAGAATTATTATATGAGGTATAATAAGAATTGTTCTAAGTGACTACGGTAGTTATCTTACATAGATAACCAGACTGCTTGGAATACTGGGAACTCTGTATTAACAGACCTTGGGATCCAAAGGTTTTTAAATAGTAGTAATGATGTCTACTACTTTGAACATTTATCATGTAGTAGACACTGTTGAGACTGCATTATCTTAATTTAAAGAGCGTCAGTAGCTTGTATAAGTATGCATAATTGCTAAGTGGTTAAGCCAGGATTGAACTTGGCTTGGTATCAGAGTGTGTAGCTTTGCTTTCACTTGCTCCCGTTTCTGGTGGAACTGCAGGAAACAGAAATCAGAGACCTAGGAAAGCATCCCACGCAGGGTGTTGGAGTCACCGAGTCAGGATCCTGGAATTTCTGTTCCTTGAGACCCTGACCCCTAGGGCTGGTACAGGAACAACCTGCTCTGCATCCATAATGGAAGTGGGGGACCATGGCCCTGGGAGAAGCCAAGGTCCCAAGTGACCTACTAGTTTTGTCCACATGGACTCGCTTGGTCCTTTTTGCTCACTTGCCTTCCAGCAACCCTCCTGGCTTTCCCTCCCTTCTAGTGCATAGAGGACAGAGTTGCAGGAGCTTTAAACAATGTTCTGGGGTATCTGATAGCAACATTCCTTCCCCAGCCTTTTGAATATCTGTTCCTGGATGGGAAGCTCTTACTGTCTTCCCAAAGCAGCCTGTTCCATTATTAGAAACACTTCCTTTAATCTCCCTGAACTCTGTTCTCTGAACCTTGAGAGTTGAAGGATCTGATTGCCACTCTAGGGAAGGAATGCCTTCCGCATCACCTCTGGCAGGTGGACACTTGGACACCTCTTCCCACCCATAATGGGGAGATTGATGCTACTGCCATTTCTTCTCCACTTACCAATCCTGGTTCCTTCTTCACAGCTAAATGTTCATCCATTGCCCAGGCCCCTTGCTCCTATGATTGACTTTCTTCCCAGCAGCGGTTCTGTCCTCCACCCTCGTCAGTCACTTACTTCCGTGACCAGTCTCTCGACTTGGTCGTCATCAGTGTCCCCCTCATTCTTCTAGCTTACTCTGATTACCACCCCACTCTCTTTCCCACACCCACAAACACTGAGTCCTCTAATCTGGTGAGCCCTCTACTTTGTCAGTGTCTATCACTATCTTGCTTTACAAGTCCCTCATTGCCCAGTTTGGATTCACTCCCTTGAAAAATCCCTTAGTTCTCCAACCCTTCTCACTCCACCAAGTGTCTTGGTAACCCTCCTGCTCACTGTGTACCTGCACTTGAGCCTTTGATGTCCAGGGGACACTTACTGCAGCAGATCATCCTTCTACTTACCCAGTCACTCTCCTCTGTCACCACTCTCATTTGGAAGACTTGATGATTTCTTTCTTTCTTTCTTATTTTTTTTTTGGAGACACAGTCTCACTCTGTCACCCTGGAAAGAGTGCTGGGGCATCATAGCTCACAGCACTTCAAACTCTTGGGCTCGAGCAATCTTCTTGCCTTAGCCTCCCAAGTAGCTGGGACTACAGGCACCTACCACACCGCCTGGCTAGCTTTTTCTGTTTTTAGTATAGATGGGGTCTTGCTCTTGCTCAGGCTGGTCTCAAACTCCTGAGCTCCAGCAGTCCACCTGCCCTGGCCTCCCGGAGTGCTAGGATTACAGGTCTGAGCCACCACGCCCAGCCTAGACTCCATGATTTTCTTACCACAAACCCAGTGCCTCTATGGACAAGCCTCAGCCCCTAGGCAGCCCTTTCTAGACATGGTTCTGAACTCCTGACTGCCTCTGGTGGGTGGGCTTTCTGATGCTGATATCCTGGGAGACAGAGTAGGATGGTTCTGTGCTCACCCTGGGAGTCTGAGGTAAGGGGTGCTGTCTTTGCCTCTTGTTTTACTTTGGGATTCAATGGCATGGGGAAACAGGGTGCCCCACCTCCTGTATCACATGAGTACCCACCCACTCTCTGCCTGGGAAGCACCACTCCCCTCCCCAGGCCTTACCTGCCTACAGCAAAGACAGTCAGCCCAATGGTGAGGTTCTGCTGTTCAGCCTTTTGCCGGGCCACATGTGGGTCAAAGATGCCATCCCAAATAATGGGAGCCCCCCAGGAGGTGCACGTCAGGACTTCAGGCCGGGCCCTGGCCAGGGCAGGGATGGGAGATAGTGCCATTCATCCGTCTACTTGGTGCATGCTCACTGCCACCTCCATCCACTCATCCGCCCACAGATGAATCAGTCCCTGTCCCTAAAAGCCCCTAGCTCAGAACAGCATTTAGTTAGAGGACTGGGAGATACGTGGTCTAATGGGGCTGCTGGTTTGAGAGCATCTGGGTCTGCTGGAGTGGGGCAGAACTCTGTAGGGCTTGGGGAGTGCTCTCAGAGTGGGAGGATGGTAGCTCTTACCAGGGACGTAGGACCCCTGTGAAGTTGTCTTTCAGCAGGGACATTGTGGTCTCAGGGCAGATGCCCATGGGGATGAGAACTTCCAGATACCTGTGGGTGGGGGCAGCAGTGAGAGGTGTGTGGGCCTTCTTAGGAACCTTGCTCTTTACAAGGACGGAGAGTCCACAAGCACATGCGCCCAGACTGAGCTAGCCACCACCCTCCATCTCTTAAGAGCTACTCTGAAAGATCCACTTTAACCCTGACCCCAGTGTCCCACCTTAAGGGCTGGGAGGAGAGGCATGTACCTGACTATAGGGAGCCCATACAGGAGTAGGCCTAAGAGGCCAAGTGCAAGTAGGATCATTGTCCAGAAGATTCTTTTCCAGGCCCTGGAGGGGTGGGGGGAAACGGCATCATTTATATCTATACACAATATATAGAGAAATTGTATATATCCGTACATAATATATAGAGAAATTATGCCCACATATGTGAGAAATTATCTGTATAATTTTAATGTTTAATTTGTCTTTTTAAATAAGACTATATTCACATGGTATAGACATTCATAGAGATAAAAGAATATATATGTGGAGTCTTTTCTGTTTCTGGATGACTGGTTCCTGTGCGTGGAGGTAGCCAGTGTTACCAGTTTCTTATGTGTCCTTCTAGAGTTGGTTTATGCATATAAACATACAGATATAAATATGGTAGCACATTCTTTCTCTCTCTCTTTTTTGCTCCACAAATGGTAGCACAGTGGACATGCTGTCCTGCACTTTCCTTTTTCACTGTTATTGTCTGGGAGTCTGTTCTGTCTGGTACTAAAAGAACTTCCTCCCCCTTTTGTCCAGCTACCTGATGTGCCACTGATTGGAAATCAGTAATTTGCCTGACCAGGACCCTGAAGATGAGCATTTACATGTTCAGTCCTTTGCTTTCCTCAGCAGTGCTGCAGGGCATGACCTTGGGCAGGTTTTGAGGTGGTAGCATTGGGGATTGGGGTGCTTAGCCTGGGTGGGGGTGAGACTGACCTTGGCCAGGGGGAGAGGCCAGTACAGGGTGCAGGGATGTCTGTGGCTTGGTGACTGGAGGTTAAGACCTGCCTGGGTCTTAGAGACAAGTCTCTGGGCTGGCTGTGGTCAGAGACCACGTGTCTGTGGCAGCTCCAGTCACTGGGCCAGTGAGTTCCTCTAGCACAGTGGTTCTCAAGCTGTGGGTCGCGACCCCATTTTTCCATTTGTAACAACGTGGCAGTTAGGTAGGTTGAGAACCACTGCTCTAGCAGAGCTCAGTGGCCCTGTTCCTGGCTCAGAAGAGGTGGGCTTTGGATTTGCCCGTGGTTAGTTGTTTTCTGGGAAGGGCCCAAGTGTTGAGAATTTTTCTGAACCTGAATGTTGAGATTTTTTCCGAGCTCCTCCTGGAGCCCTTGTTCTGTTCTCCCCTCCCCTGCTGTGTGCTCACATCTCTAGAGAGACTGGAACCATATGCAAGGAGCTCAGACACTGGGCCAGAATCCTGAGTTTAAATTCCAGCTCTGCCACTCCTTAGCTGTCTGGCCGTGGGCAAGGTCAGGCCTGCTGCTTGTTAGTCTCATCTGCAAGATGAAGATACTAGAATACCTGCCTCAGAGGGCTGCTGTGGGGTAGAGTTAACACAAGCTAAGTGGCAGAACAAGACTTTGCCTGTTCTAATAGGCTCACTAACCTTCATCTTTGATAATGACGATCCTTTTTCCTGAACTTGCCTTGTCCCCTGGGCAAACTCCTAGCTCCTGCCTGACAAACCCTTCCAAAGTTCAGCTCCCCGGATCTCCTTCCCCACGAAGCCCATGTGCCACGGACCCACCATTCCTCCCCAGGTGTGATTAGCAGAGCTCTGAGAACCACCTTGCCAGGGGTGTGTGTATTTGTGTCCGTGTCTACCTGGTCACATCTCAGCACTCAACAGCTCCTTCTATTTACTTGGCTAAGCCAGAAAGCCGGTGATACCCTAACCCCTGCACCCCACACCCACTGTCTGCTGCCATCCCTAGGTTGGGCTGACTTAGCCTTCTTGATCTCTGCCTCACTTCCTTCCTGCAGCCCCTGTGGCCCCCACAGTGACCCTGGCCTGCTTGTCTGTCACCAGGAACATTGCAGTAGCTCCCTTCCTGCTCTGGTCAGCCCACACATAGACAGCCCAGAGTCATCTCATAAAAAGCCAACCTGCCTTAACAGTTCTTATTGTCACACAAAGAGGTAAATCCTCAAAGGGGAATTCATTCAGTATTCAAACAGACGGAAAAATGTTCATGCTCACCAAATCAAAGACATACAAATTAGAACAAGGTGGTATGTTTTGCCTATAAAATGAACAAGAGCACAGTGCAGTAGACAACTCTTAGACTTGCTGGTGGGAGTGTGGTTCCTGCAGCCTTTTCAAAAGCTACTTAGCTGTGGAAATTGACAGCTCTCAATATTCATCCCCTTGATTCAGTCTTTTGGGAGTCTGTTCAAAGGAGATAATCTTGAGTGTGGGAAAAGTTTACACATCAGAGTGTTTGCCAGTTTCTGTTCAGTCATGCATTTGATGTGTTTATTATGCACAAACTCAGCATCAAGCACTATGGCAGGTCACAGATGCCGTGGTGGAGGAGACACAGACTTGTCAGGAAGGTTGTGGGTGTGGTGGAGAGAGGGGAAGTTACATGACAGACTGAAAACAGATGAACAGACCCAGCATGGTGAATGCTGTGATGATGATAAATATACGATGGCATGGGGGCAAATTGGAGGGTGGCATCTGAGCCTCAAAAGATGGGGAGGAAGTCAGGAGGCTTGCTGGAGGAGGTGACCTCTCTGCTAGGACCTGAAGAATTAGAAGTTCTCCAGGCAAAGAAGGCAGTGGAGGGGGAAGGGAGGACCATGAAAAGGAAACAACAATTTGCAAAAGTGAGGAGGTGAGAGAAAACTTGGAATGTGGGTGGGATTGCAGGTCATCCTCTGGGGTGGAGTATAGAGTGCTGACAGGAGTGGTCAGAGGTGAGGCTCCAGAGGTGAGTGGGGCCTGGGTATCCAGGACCTGTAGTCCAGCCTTGGGTTTGGGCTTCATCTTGAAGGCTATGGGGAGTCCTGACAGGTGTTTCCTTCAGGGAGTGACACAGGTATTTGTTTGGAAAATATCCCAAAGTACTCAAGCTGAACTGTTGAGCCTGGCTATGGGGGAGTGGGAGGGAGGGGATGATAGAAGCCGGAAGAGGAATTAGGGGCCAGGGTGCCAACCCTTGGGAGGTACTGGGCCATGAACCAGGGTGGGAAGGAACAGGTGGAATAGGGCTGTCAAAGAGGGACAGGGCTGGAGGACCAGAAATTCCTGATTGACTGGTGGGAGACAGGGGCTGGAGACCAAAGGTGGGCAGGGACATCATGGGAGAGGCAGAGAGAAAGCACAGAGGGAGAGCTCCAGGACCCAGGCCAGGTAGGAATAAGAAGGAGACCTATCAAGTAGAGGACTTCAGATGGAGAAGGGTGGAGGATGACTCCAGAAGTTTGGCTGTAAGGAGAAAAGAGAAGAATGGAACTGGAGAAGAGGCAAGGGGATGGGACTGACAGAAGTGTGTGTTTGTTTCTTTTACACAAAGGAGACGTAAGCTGGGTTGAAAGCTTCCTGGACTCAAGGGAGGAGACATCATCTCAGCTGCTCTGATAGAACTGAAAAAGGCTGTAGTGTCCAGATGAAGGGACTGGCTAAATAAACTTGTTATAAAGACTCTGTAGTCATGTGGGAAAATGCTCATACAGGAACGTTAAAGGAAAAAAAGCAGGATCTAAAATTGATGTGCACCATGATTATAATTTAATAAGAATAAAAGCATGCACTGGAAAGTAAGACTAAAAGGAAACACTTAAGTGTTTGTGCAATAACATTAGAGTTTTTATTTTTCTCTCCGATTGTAATGTACTTATTTTTTATAATGAAGGAAAATTTGAAAGTAATTTTCAAAAGAGCCAAATTGTTTTATGGCTTCCTGCTGGCTGCAGGATAAAGTGCACATCTTTAGCCACACCTAAGAAGCCCTCCAGATCTGGCCCCTCCACAGCGAGCAGTCCAAGATGGTCCCGTAGCTTTGTTTGAGAAAGCAAATGGATATAAACAAGCTCAGGTTCATCCCTCAGTTGGGAACTGGATGAATGAATTGTGGGTATCTCTGAGGCTGAGTATCCCTTAACAATGCTTGAGACCAGAAGTGTTTTGGATTTTGGATTTTTTCAGATTTTGGAATATTTACATTATACTTAATATTTGAGCATCTCTAATATGAAAATCTGAAATATGAAATGCTCCTTTGAGTGTTCTGTTGGCCCTCAAATGTTTGGGATTTTGGAGTATTTTGGATTTCATTTTTTTGAATTAGGGATATTCATCCTGTATAGTGGAGATCAACATGGACATTAAACAGGATGAGGTGGATTTATGTGTATTAAGTGGAAAAGGGAGTAACAGAACCAATATGTAGAGGGCAGCTGGGCCCATGGGAGGGGGTGCCCACCCGGTGCACCTGTTTAGTCATGTGTATCCGTGTTCTCTTACAATGTGGAGGAAAAGAGCTACAGTACCATCATCTAATAGAAACATGTATAGTGTGAGTCACACAAATATCTTAAAATTTTCAAATAGCCACATTAAAAAAGTGAAAAGAAACAGGTATAATTGGAGATATGCTGGGTTGAATAAAAATATTATTTAATTTTTATTAATTGGCTTTAATTTCTCAACCTGGATACCTAGGCACAATCCCTGTGGGTGCTCCCCATACACAGCCTCCTTCATTCTGCTTCAGGCCACCATCTCCCTCACCTGGCCAGCCTTACCGCCCCCTTACCAGCCTCCTTGCTTTTGCTCTTGCTCCCTGTGATCCCTTCTCCAGAATGATCATTCAGAAACATAAATGAGAACACTACTCTCCTGTTTTCAGGGCCTCCCTTCTCACTACTCTTAGAATCTAACCTGGTGTGACCCTCTCTTCTGGTCTACCAAGCTCTGTGGCTTTGGCCTCTGCCACCTCCTATCTCATCCCACTGCCCCTGCATCTGCTCCTCCAGGCTGTCTGACCCTCCAGCTCCCCTCTGCAAAGCTTGTCCTCATGCATTCCCATCTCAGTTACAAGTCTGCATGTCCTCTCTCACCACTTGGTTCTCTCTCCTGGTGACCTTGGCTCTACCCTCTTGTTCAATGATGGCCTCAGGTAGCGTATGTCCCCTGGACAGTGGTGTCCACGTGGGTGTCCCACAGACCCCTCAGACTCATTGCTTCTCAAGCTGCAATCTGCATTTCCCTGACCTCTTGTTCCTTGTGTTTTATCAGGGCCTGATCTCAAACCTAGTGGGACTCCTCCTCCCTGTGACACAGTCAAGCACAAGTTCTGTTGCCTCCACCTCCTTCCTAGTGCCTGAGGCTCCCCTCTTGTCCGGCCCTTCTGCCTTATTTGTACTGTTGTTTCTTATCTGGTGTTCCATTACACTCCCCTAACCTGCCTGCTAGTCTGTGTTCTTTACCCTGCACCATAAAGTTTCCTAAGCTGGCCACAATTGTCCTTCCCCTCTGTCCAGATTGCTGCTTTCCTGTCATCTACCAAGCTTCATATCACTCCTCAGTGCCCAGCCTCCTCCTGTGTGGTGCCTTCATTGACACCTGCTTCAACGCCCCCTCCCCCAATTGAAGCCTCTGTACCCCTTCCAGACCTCACCTCCCATAATTGGAGACTGCCCACTAGGCATGAGTTTTGTTTCATTGACTTTGTATTCTTAGTGCCAAATCCCAGAGCCTGCCTTATAATTCATAGTATTAAAATTATTTGTTCAATAAATGAATCAAGCTATGAATGAGTTCTTTGTCTTCATTCTCTTTTCCAAACTCTTTGCTTAAAACTCCCATTTCTTGGGCCAGGTGTGGTGGCTCACACCTGTAATCCTAGCACTCTGGGAGGCCGAGGAGGGTGGATTGCCTGAGCTCACAAGTCTAAGACCAGCCTAAGCAACGAGACCCCATCTCTAAAAAATAGCCAGGTGTTGTGGCGAGCACCTGTAGTCCCAGCTACCTAGGAGGCTGAGGTAAGAGGATCACTTGAGCCCAGGAGTCTGAGGTTGCTGTGAGCTGTAATATGACGGCACTCTACCGGGGGCAATAAAGTGAGACTCTGTCTCAAAGAAAAAAGAAAAACATTTCTCCGACCTTCAGTCTGTACTCTTTATTAATCCCAGGCACCTACGGAGCCAGACACTGCAGAGTTTTTATGTCTATCTCATTAAGATCTGACCATAATCCCTTGAAGGAGATGCTATGATTATCTCTACTTTATAAATGAGGAAACTGAAGCTCAGAAAGGTTAAACCACTTGCTTAGAGTTGCACAGCTGGTAAACTGTGGGACAAGCTTTGACCAGGTCTGTCTGACTCTGAGCCAGAGCTTCCAGCATGGCATTTGGGTCCCTTTTGACCTGGCTCCAGCTCAGCCTTAAAGCTCTTAAGGAGACTCAGCCCTTTTATTTTGGGGTATAGGCTTGGCTTCTCCCAAGTCACTCCATGTTTCTGGCCAGTCATTGTCTCTGCTATAAGAAGCTTTCCTCTCCCCATTGTCTTCAGTCCCAGTCTGACCCTGCAGGACTGGCTGCAACTGGGCTTTGCTGGCTCCTGGCAGCCCTATCAAAGACAATATTTGGCACCATTGTTTCAGGGGTACACTATGGGATATGCTATAGAGGCAGGAAGAGGCTGGAGGGGCCTTTCCCTGCTCTCGGTGGATGTCCCAACCCTCTTCCCTAGCCCCCCACCCCAAGGGCTCCAGCCAGGGCAGCCAGGTAGAGATAGCTCTGAGTGGCCCAGATGAGCTGTAGTGGTCAGGCCTGGGAGGGTGCTGAGACCCAGGTCTGGAGTAGAGACCTAACAGCTCCTCCCCTTTCCATTTTCCCTGCCTAGCCTGCTCATCCACATTCCTGGATCAGATGTTTCAAAAAGGACCCAATCCACTTCATCTCCACCTGCAGAAGGTGGGCCCTCAAGCCCCACCCTGTAGTCTGCTCCTTACTCTCCTTGATTTCAAGAAAAGGTAAAATGAGTCATTAGTTCTTAAGGGGGAACAATTTTCCAGTCCTGCCCAGTGGAGGTAGAGCTCTTGGTTACATTGGGGAAGGGAACCTGCCCCAGGCCTTTTGGGGTTTATTTGTATTTTTTTGAGACAGAGTCTCACTTTTATCACCCTCAGTAGAGTGCTGTGGTGCCACAGCTCACAGCAACCTCAAACTCTCGGGCTTAAGCGATTCTTTTGCCTCAGTTTCCCAAGTAACTGGGATTACAGGTGTCCACTGCAATACCTGGCTATTTTTTAGAGATAGGGTCTCGATCAGGCTGGTCTCGAACTTGTGAGCTCAGGCAATCCACCTGCCTTAGCCTCTCAAGTGCTGGGATTACAAGCATGAGCCACTGCACCTGGCCCACTAAAGGGGTTTAGAGGAATCAAGAAGAGTCCCAACTTTTCATCAGCTACAAGATATCTTAGGATCTGGTTTCCCCCCACTCCACCATCCATCTGCATAGACTGTCCATCTTTCTATTCCTTGGGTGATGTTCTCTCTGGGAGTCACCTTTTGTCAGGACCCATAGCGCAGTTAGTACTCAGTAGCTAGCTTTGATACCCCCCCTACCTTGGGCTGTTTAGGCCACCAGAGCGGACACCTCTTAGATTAGCAGTCTCCATGCCTTCCTCCTCCCAACACCAGTGTCCCCACTTACCTGAGTCTATCCTGGAGAGCTGTATCAAAAAGCTGATAGGACAGCCTGCAACGAACTCTCATCTCAGCCAGGGAAGAAATGACCTATTGTTTAAGACTGTGCAGAGCCGCTTCTAGCCCTGTCCTTTAGCAAGCACACCTGCACGGAGTGCTTGGGGATGGACTGCCTGCGAAGGACCTGTGTGAGGTAAGGTGGGGCCTCCTGGAGGAAGCTTGCCTCAGGTGCATTGGGGGCTGGCAACTCCTTTGGGGCCAATCACCTGGAAGAGGGTGGATCCAGGAGGGCAGTCATGGTTGGCTGGAGGCTCTGAATTTTTGGTACAGATTCCATGTCCCTCCCCAGGTCCTTGAGCCCCTCTTCAGTGTCTTTTGGTTTCTGGGAATGGCCAGGGATCAGGGTATGGTGTTTGTCACCTGGTGAAAAGCCAGTTCTGCACAGAGCCTCAGTCTGAACTGAAGGGCCCTGGACACTTGATGGTAACCTTGGACAGTTCACCACATGGAATTCTTTACCTCCTCAGTAAAAGGGCAGACACCAGTCCCCAGGAGAGTGTGAGAACCATGTAACATCATGGATGTGGAAAGGTTCTATATTTAGACTATATATGTATATATACATATACATACACACACACACACACACACACACACACACACACATATTTAAAATATCTAGGAGGCTGAGGTGGAAAAGATTGAGGCCAGGAGTTGAAGATCAGTCTGAGCAAAAGTGAGACCCGTCTCTACAAAAAACAGAAAAAAAAATTGTCTGAGCATGTTGATGCATATCTGTGGTCCTAGCAACTTATGAGGCTGAGGCTGGAGCCTCGTAAGTTGCTAGGACTACAGGTATGCACCAACATGCTCAGCCAAGTTTGCAAAATTCTTGTGTAAAATGTAAATAGTATGAACAAATTTATTTTTAAGGACATGCCCTTCAAGGGTACAATAGGTTGGGACTTCACTTTTTTTTTTTTGAGACAGAATCTCACTCTGTTGCCCAGGCTGGAGTGCCATGGTACCAACCTACCTCACAGTAATCTCAAACTTTTAGTTCAAGTCATCCTCCTGCTTTAGCCTCCTGAGTAGCTAGGACTACAGGCACCTGCCACATGCCTGGCTAATTTTTCTATTTTTATTAGAGACAGTGTCTTATTCTTGCTGAGGCTAGTCTCAACTTCTGAGCTCAAGGAATCCTCCCACCTCCCAGAGTGCTAGGATTATAGGCCTGAGCCACTGTGCCCAGCCAGATTGGGACTTTTCAACTAAAGAACATGGATACATACCTGTGTGTGTCAAAATCACTGTTATCTGCTTTGAGGAGGTAGTTCTCCTTCCCTCTGTCTTTATCACATACATTAATAAATTTAGGTAGTGCTGGATTTTCATTTTCTTCCATAAAAGGAAAATTTAGGTCCAGGAAGTAAATGGCTCAGAATTCTGGGGGCCAGCAGTGTCCTCAGCATGTGTGCCTCTGTCATTGCAGGGTCCTGCTGGCCACTCCTCACTTGTGGGACACAAAGCTTTCTAGCCCCTGGTTCCACCTTTCTGCTATCAACTGATTTGTTTCTTCTCCTCCTCCAGGTAATAGTTTATATTTTTAATAGGCTTTCCAGAGAGGAGTTAGCAAAATAAGGGTGGATTCTTAGGAGTTACTGATCTTAATCTTATTCTAGAGATTCTGATTCTGTAGGCTAGGGCCTGACCCTCAAAACTCACATTCTTAACAGGTAGAAACAGCCTGATGAAGGAAAAAGGGGCAGTGAGCCCAACCTGTCTCCTCTTGTCTTCCTCCAAAGATGCAGGGTAGATGCAGCTCCACAGGACGGGGCATGTGGTTCTTTTCTTTATCTCCAGCCTTGTTTCTAGCACAGGGGCTGGTTCACAGAGGCCATGGTCAGCACATCTAGCCAGCTTACCTTCCACTCACCTACACATGCACATTTACACTTGTGCATCTGCACATACTGCCATGGTCTGGAACGTCCTTTTCCCTATTTTATTCAAGGCCTAGGTGTGACCTCCACTGTCCTTATTATTGTCTACTTCAGTATCCAAATAATGCTTCAAAAGTGCTTAGTGAACCAAAGCCATCCCAAGGGCTGTTCTGGATGATGGGCAGCTCCATCCACAGTTGTTTTCTGGAGGATGGGAGAATTTAGATCCTTCTCCAGGTATTCAGATGCTCCTGGCCCAAGAGTCATGTCTCCTAAGTGGGAATGGTGGGTAGCGGGGCTCAGGTGGCTTCTGAACCCTCCCAATCCAAGGTACACTGTATGAAGAGCAGAGTTGGTATCTGCTGCTCCCGTGTGTGCTGGGGCTAAAGGCACCTCGAATGACCTGGCTCCAGCAAAGCGTGGTGGATATGCTTTCTGGTTAGGGTCCCTTCCCCAATCCAGGGACCCACCCCTATCTGTATGGTGAAAAGTAGCCATTTGGGCCTAGAGGCAGGCACCCTAGGTTAGAAGGAAGGCACAGAAGAGATGGATTTTACAGATTTATTTTTAAAAAACAAAAAGGTTAAAAAAGTCCTTCATTTCCAACCCTGGCTTGGGGTGGGGGTGGGGGGATAGAACAAGCTGAGAAAGGTATCCACCCCCTTCTTGCAAAGGACACTCTCAGGAGCCTGCAAAGGACAGGGCAAGTCAGAGGCAGGCCCTCGCCCTTCCTGCCCTGCCTCCTCAGGCAGCTCAAACTGCTGCCACCAAGTTTTATAGGCAAAGAAGTGTGGGAGCAGGAGGCCAAGAGCTGCCTTCTTCACATCAGGGTGACTCCAGCTGTTCTCTCCCCTCAGAGTTCACTGGTGCTGGAAGGTGGGTAGCAGGCAGATCAAGAGGCATGGCCTGGCTCTGCCCTCTGGGCTTTGCAGCCCAGCCCACCAGCAGCTTTCTTAATGCTGTTTGTGAGCCAGGAGTGCAGTCAGGGGAACTTCAAGGTGTGGGGAGGGGTCGTCAGAGACGCTGTGACAAGTCTGGAAAGGGAAATCGAATCGCCATCTCTCTGATCTTGCCTCTCCACACTGAGGCTGCCCTTCTTTGCTATTCCCCATCCTGAGATGGAGGAGTCCAGGACAAAGCACTAAGTGGCTGTTTACTACAAAACACCTGGAGATGCCAGAGGGTCACTCTTGGCCTATCTGGCAGTCCAGGCTCCCACACAGTCATACAGTCATACACACAGCGTTAAGGCGTCTGTGCCAGCAGGCATGGCCCAACTGGGCCCAGCTTCTCTCTCTCCACCTGCAGAGGGTGTAGGGGGGAGAACCCTGCTGCTGCAGAAGCAGGCTGAAGGGGGAGAAGCTGGCAACGGAAGAGTTAACCAGGCCTGGAGAAAGAAGTGGGAGGAAGGAACGCAAGGGCTTTCTAGGCCTCTATCCAGGCCTGCTGGCTGCCCTTGGAAGTAACCCAACTGAGGTTGGGAGCCCTGACCATTTGCCCCCTGGAAAATGGGGGACAGAGAAAGGGGAAGAGAGCGGGGGCTACAGTATTGGGACTTTGGAGGAAGCCAGTGCTATCAATATTTACAAGCATAAAGCCCCATCTTCAGCGCCACCTACCTCTCTGCCCCTCTCACAGAAATGAAAGGCCCCTGAGAGCCATGGAGGAGGTGCCCAGACCTCCTCACCAGCCATGCCCCTAGGGAGAGCTCCTTCCCTCCGACTGGCCCCATTTCTGGGCTCCTTAGGAATGTCTGTCTGTCTGCTCTGCTCAATCGGGAGAAGGAGCCCTGGGCCAGAATCCTGGCTGCCCGGGCCAGCCCTAGGAGTCCTTGAGCATGCTGATACGAGCGTAGATCTTCAGGGCAGGCCCCAGCTTGATGTTCATGGCGCTCATCAGGTGGTCCTCCTTGAGCAGCAGCAGAGCTTGCCCATCAATTTCCTGGGCACGGAATTCCTCTGCTATCTCTTGGCAGCCTGAGGGAGATACCACCGAAGATAGTATCAGTAAGAGCTGCCATATTTACTCTTGGTGGCCACTCCACTGCACTTTAGATACATTCTATCATTTAATCCTCACAACCATACCTTGAGGAAGGTATTGCTAATTCTTATTTTGCAGTTTGCAAGAAGCCTAAGTTTACCCATGGTGGTCTTAATCTGTGCCGCCTTGTTTGTGCTCTTCTTCAGCTCACTCCACGAACTAGACTGACCCTAGTGACCACTAAGGTATTGTGGAAGTGACAGCAGGTGATTTCCAAGGTTAGATCATGAAGGGCACAGCAGCTTTCACCTTGCTCTTCTGGATAATTTATTTTGGAGTAAGTCAGCCTCCATGTCATGAGGCCACTCAAGCAGCCTCTAGAGAGACCCACATGGAGAGCCACAGAGGCCTCTTATTAACAGCCTGCTCCACGTGCCATCACTACCTTGAAAGTGGATCTTCTGGTCCCTAAACCTTCAGACAACTGAGCCCTGGTTGACATCGTAACTGAGACCTCATGGAGAGACCCCAAGCCAGAATTTCCCAGCTAAGCCTCTCCAAATTCCTGACCCACAGAACCCTTGAGATAAGGGATGATTGGTTTAAATCATCCCTTAAATCCTGAACTAATTTTGCATCACAGCAATAGGTAACGGGTCCCTAGAAGAGGAGTGCTACCATAAAAAACGATTCCAAGATGTGGGCAGGGGCTGGAAGGACTTTGAGGAGAGTCAGTGAATGCTCATGGCTCCTTGAGAGACCAAGTAGATGTCTCTAATGGCCCTTGAGGAAGCTACAGGGGAGGCCTACAGGAAAGTGAGGAAACTTAGTGGACTTTTAAAAAACTGGATTCCTGTTACGAAATAGGAAATTTTGCAATACTGTTGTTGGTGATAACCTAATGGACTGGGTGATCTAGCTAAGGAAATTTGGGGGCCGAATGCTGAAGGTGCTAGCTTCTTAATGCTGCTCATGGTGAAATAGGAGAGAGATAAGCTGAAAAAAAGTTCAGCATAAAGGAGCCAGGATTGAAAAATGCCCAACATCTCTAGATGGCAAATGATGCTAAAACTAAAAAATAAACAGTTTCTAGGCAAAGATCAAATTCAGGGCACAGTCAAGCAAACATGGTGTACAGATGAGACAGAGGGTGTGACTTAAATCTTTTGTTAAGACCTCAGATCTAGGCTTGGCGCCTGTGGCTCAAGCGGCTAAGGCGCCAGCCACATACACCTAAGGTGGCGGGTTCGAATCCAGCCTGGGCCTGCCAAACAACA